ACTGATTACACTGTAAATGATAATCTACCTTAACCAAAATCAAAGTAGACTATCACTCACCCACACCAGATGGAAAACTCTACAGACTGTCGGTTCACACCCCATCACAAGCCAGCAAAACATATATCGTCAAACAGAACTGCCCGGTAAACTGTAGGCAGAGAGGGAGAAGAGGACAACAAATGAGGGGCTGTGACAAACTGTTTCGTCGGAGTTTCACTGACTCATCAGGAGGCTGAACCCTATATATATATATGCTCTCCCTATGCTCTCTCAATCTTCCGGCGCTCGAACCTCCCTGCTCGCTGTCTCCCTCTCTCTTTCCCTCTCTTGCTGATGCATGCCCAGAGTGAACCGTCGGCAATAAAGTCCAAAGGATCATCCAACGTGAGGAAGAGATATAACATGACAAAGCGGAACACTCGAAACAAACAAGAAAGTCTGACGATACAGAAAATGACAATATCAGATCAAGCGGGGAGCGATCCAAACACAGAAGAGTCTCCCCGCTGAAATCATTCCTGAACGTGGGTGGAGGGGGAAAAAAAGGAGGAGAAGAAGAAGATAACTCGATGTACGGCAGTGTCAAATAACAATGGTCTCTCCTCCACCTCAACCTCCAATGATGAACTCAGATGTCGAATCCAGTGACCTCTCTCTCTCTCTCTGATAATGATGATACTGACCAGTAAAAGTGAACTCTACCTCACCTCTCATTCCCTCTAGCGCTGCTCCTCTACCTCCACCAGTGCTGGACTCCTCCAGAACCTACCTGCCAACTGCTGGGTCCACATCTCCTATATACTACGGGGCCAGCCACCATCCAACCCGGCCTCCAATCTGGGCTGTCTGATCAGCCAAGTATCCGCTGAGTCGCTCTGTGGCCAAGCTCTGGCCAGGCTTCAAAAGCAAGCTGGCCAGCATTCGAAGACTGGTCAGGCTTAGAAAACAAGCTGGACAAAATGCTGGTAAGACAGCCCCTGACGCAGAGCAAATACAGGCTTCAAAACAAGCTAAACAAAATGCTGATAAGACACCCCCTGACGCAAATAAATTCAGGCTTCAAAAACAAGCTAAACAAAATGCTGATAAGACACCCCCTGACGCAAAATAAGCTAAACACCAAAAGCGGATACATACCTGAAGTCTGTGTACCAAAGACGTACCTGCCTGCCTGAAAACGAGATAAGCCCGCCTCGTGTAGTAGGCTCTAGGTATGCTACACTTGCTCTCAACTCTCAGATCGGCCACAGTTTATCCCTGGATGCACTCACATTACTCCCTATAACTACCCGACTCGGTTACATCGGACTTCTCCTTCCCGCAATCCTAGCTATGGCACCCGATCGCCATCCTCAACCTCCCTCTAACCAGCAGCACTTGGGTGTACTTTGTCTGCTCCAGATGGATAACGGTCCTCGCAGCCTGTCGGCTGCAGTTGCTAGTTCCAAATCTCCAGACTTTCCCAGGATGCTGCTGAAAATTAGACTTTGGGACTTCTGGACTTTTTTCTATCCGGTACCGGACCGGCCTTCTACTGACCTACAACTTTCAGAATCTGGACCCTACCGGACTGTAACCCTTTCGCTTGTAGAACCTACAGACACATAAGGGGCTACAGGAACCCTAAGACTGGGACCTCCCAGGACTCTGGGAATGGACCCAAGCAGGACTTTGGAACCGGGACTTCGGAGGGTCTGCACGTGAAATCCTTTTAAAGGCATTCAATAATGTACAACGACTTCACCATGCACACATCATATGCTGCCATTCTACCATCCATTACACGGTGCTATGAAAAGAAAAGGGGTATCCAAAAGACTTTCTGCTTCCTTAACATATGCCCCTAGTAATATGAGGCTTGGCTGCTGGGGCTGCCCAGGCCCACATATCCAGGCATCGATTATCCCAAACTTCATGCAACAGAATTTCTTTTTTTCTCAGATTTTTTACATGGTTATTTCCTGCATGTCAAATTGAGCACAAATCTGAGGTGGTTTTCGAAAACCGGATCCGGTGATCAAGGGGAGCATCAGCGAATATAGACCAGTGCTGCTCCCCGGTCAGCCCGGGGGACCCTCCTCCATCTGGCACCGTCCCAGTCGGACCGACCGGTGGACTGGCCCGGCTGGACCCCAGTTCACAGCGCATTTTTGCTGGGGAGGGTTACCGGCCCAAAGACCGGCCTAGGATGCCTCCTGCGGACTAGAGGACCCTGCCGGAGTCGCAAAAAATACACCAGGCTGGCTAAGCCCCATTTTTATTATGTTTTCAGGCGACCAATCAGAGCCGTCAATCTCAAAACATCAGCGGCCCAGATAAACCACCTGTTTGAAAATCCTTGGGCGGGGATCTCGCAGCAACACGCCTTGCCCCTCACGCCCCTTACTTACCGTGCTCTCATCACGAGCAAGCACTCCCATCCCCGTCGAGCAGTGAGTGAGCCGTCACATCACTGTCGAGCACCGAGCAAGCCCCCTTTTTCACCGTGGAGCAGCGAGCCTGCCATCTCCTGTTCAAGCGCCGTTGCCGTCGGTTTGTTGCCACGCCCCATCTGAGCCTGCATGTCATTAGGCGAGGGACAGGAACTTCTTCTTCTTCTACTGGTGTTTGTGAGTCTGTGTGTAAGAGAGAGAGAGAGAGAGAGAGAGAGAGAGAGAGAGATCCCCCTCCTCACCCGTCAACCTCCTTCCTACCCCGTCATTTCCCCCACCCCCCGTTGTTTAACAGAATCTATTGCAGCCATAAGCTGTTGTTCATCCACCACAGGTACTTCTGTTGCCAATCGAGCTGCCCCGGCCAATTCATCACTGAGATCTTTCTGAGCTGATGCAGAACCGTCCCTGGACATACAGTAAAACAGGCAGACCCGAGCAAGAGCTCTCCAATGCCATCTTTTACTTCTCCTCCTCCTCTGCATCTTTTACTTATCCCCTCCTCGGCATCTTTACTCCTTTTGCCATCTTTTACATCGTCCCCTACTCGCCATCTCTTGCTTATATCCTCCTCACCTTCTTTACTTCTCCTCCTACTCGCCATCTTAGTTAATTTCGAGCCCCCCCCCGGCCATCTTTTACTTCTCCTCCTACTCGCCATCTTAGTTGTTGATGTCTCAAAATCACTTCCCGTTTTTCTTACTCAGCAGCATGTTAGCATTACCCGCCCAATCCAAATTACAGAAACCCCAGAGTCCTTCAACAACAATGAGGCAGAATCCACCAATGTCAGAACCGTCCTCAGCATCGAACAGGAACTCAGGGAAGGTAATAGGTAATCAGGAAGGTAATGTAGTTCACTAGCATTAATCAGGAAAGGAGAAAAAGACACAGCACTCGAATGCCAAATTGATATTAGATTACCTTACCCACAACACCGATGCTTGAGCAAAGCCAAAGTGAAACATAAGAGGAATAAACAACAGCTCGCTGCCAAATGCCAACAGGGGATCAAAATACCTGCAGCCTTCGGCATGCATGCTTTCCCAGCCCTACATACTCCACTTCTTGTCAAACAAATGCCAATGCAGAAGAGCACCTAGTAGCAGCATTCAACAGCATTGCATTCCTAATCCCTTGAAAAATTATGACAGCTAAGAGACTTCCGCCCAACACATCAAACAGCATAATACATGGCCATAGAGTGGTATGTAAAAGACCACCAAATCCCAATGACTCAGCGGCGTGTCCAGCAACGCTGCATCTCGAACAGCAGCTATAAATAATGACTGCATGTGTCATCACAATGTGGGCTATAGGGGGCTTGGGGCATGACCTCTGCGCAGTGGAACCAAGAACAAGGTAGAGACAGAACTAGGTGGAAAGACGAAGAAAAGAATCAGAAAGGAAACTTCAATAAACCCAGAGTGCGCCAACATGTTTCAATAAACCCTGCCTACTTGATCAGATTCCCTGCCACATGTATGCAAAGAAGCGAAGCAAGTCAGGATCTCAGAATTATGGTCACTGAAGCATTTTTCGTGGCGTGTTGGGGAGGCTGAGAGGTTAGAAGAGAAGGACGAGAAGGTAAAGCGTGGAGGGGTGGAACAAGCAGAAAAAAAGCAACTGCCAAGACATATGAGGAAAGCAAGCACGAAAACATAAGACCCACCTCCCCCAAATTACCTGCAAAGGTATTCAGCATTAGTTTCGGGTCGAATGTCAGCAGGCCGGCAGGCATCCACCAGCATTCGCACGCCTCCCACCAGCACCACATTCCATGCATGTGGAATGTTGTCCATATACCCTCGGACAAGCTCACAAGGTATCGCAGGATCCAGATGATCACACAGGTACTGCACAAATGAGTGCCACACAAAGAGACAAGGGCCACTTGCATCAGTACAATGCCGGACAACTCCTGCACTGTCATTTCATACTTGTTGGGCGGGAGATGCCACAAATCCCTCTTCTTGGAGTATTGGGAAGCCCATGAACTGCAGATCAAGCACACCTGGAAAAGGCCAGTGAGTGCTACAGAGACAGCGATCACCAGAGCTACCAGCCTGTTGTAGCCAAGGCCCTGCACACTCTGCATTTCAATATTTGCTCAACTAGAATGTGTCTGGTCTGCATTTCACATTATCTTCATGTAAATAAGGAGCTGCACTCTGGAGGTCGTTGTACACTAAATTGACAAGAATCTGGTGTTCACATCACACTCTTCGTGCCAAGTTCGTGCCAGACACACTGCAGTGCAATCAAGCCATCACCTCCGCCCTAATTCCATCCGGTGCTAGCTGTTGTGGTAAGTGATTATCATGAAAGTCGCATGCAATCAAATTTCTTTGGCAGGTCAGGTTCCAAAGCATGCATGCCACAAGCACTGTGAGGTCCAACATTCTTCAAGGAGGTCACAGAAGTACCATGGAAGTGGCAACAGTAAGCGAAGATCAAGAAAACCAAGCAGACATATCAGAGCAATCAAGGGACTTGTGTCCTCCAGGACGAGAGGGATGCTTATCATTTTTGAGACCTTGGATGGGAAAGAGTGCCTCTGCATTCAACAAGCATTCATCACTAGAAACTAAATTAAGAAAGAAAGAAGAACAAAGAACAGAAGGATACTATAGTCTACACGGACAAGTTCGCCAAATACTTCTGTGCATATTATGGAAGGAGGCAGGAGAGTTGGACTGAGCGAGTGCTTCACCCTGATTATGTGTGATCAGTAAGGAAAAGGCAGGCACGCTGGATACCAAAAGACTCGATGGAACAGGAAGGGGGCAAACACAGAGTGGCAATGTTCTGGAAGCAGCTTTCCAGAGTCCTGCCAACACACACCTTCAGCATGATTGCCCGATGCCTACATATGCCATATTTCAGAGCTCCAATGGGTACGATGTTTGACTGCCGCTGCGCCTTCAGAACCCTCACACTTTCTCCACACAAAAGCTGGACGCTTGGCAGCTGAATTCCTGCTTCCAATCCATATGTTAATCTTGTCTGCCTATCAGAAAGGACGTTGCCACAGACAGCTCGAGCGCCCCACCCCTGTCCTAACTCACTACATACACAAGCACAGTCTTTTGATCCAGGGACTCGCGAGCCTCCAAGCATGGCAGTCCGCATCGACATGACCAGCTGAGCTTTATCACTCCCACCAAACCAGTCAGAGACAAACTGTGCAAGGATCGTCACATGCAGCCGTACAAGCTCCGCTGAAACCGACTCCTTGTTCTGGCTTGCCTCTTTGCCACAGCCCTCACTCCTCCCCCATGATGTGCTAGATCGGCCCACCAGCAGTTTCCGAACAGTGCCAAGAGCCAGATCCAGATCCTCATCTTTTCCCCTGGAGAACATTGCAGCACAGAATAAGGAACTTGGTAAGAAAACAAGTCAAAAGGCAGAGGAATAGCCATTTTAAGATAATTTCACACAACAGTGCCAACATACAGTTCCAACATCCACGTCAAGAGAAGGAAATCAAACTCTAGTAGATGTGCCGGCCTTCCTGTCCAACCAAAACCCTTGCCTGCTTTCTAGCCTGAATTACCAGTGTGGCTAAGCAACAGAAGCCATTTCCTAGTCCTGTTACCAGGTCGAGACCTGGGCATGGCAGTGACCCCGCCAACCAGAAGCTCAGGTTTCACATTCAGCATATTTGCTGCATAATCCATACCAAGTTTGTGCAAAGTGTACATGCGTGGCATCCAGCCAGCACTGCACAGCCAAGCCGCACTTGGTGCAAAGACACCAGATTTCCAAAATAAAAAGAACGAAAACATGCAAACATGGTACGAACACCCGAAGAAAACGTGATGTGAAAATTTATTTCAAGCAACTTTTGGCTGGGACGATGCTCCACAATCTTATTTGCACATCGTATTTGCACCCAACCAATGGCGCTGAAGGGTACACATATAAGTCTCGACAAGCAGACATGAGTACGAATCTTGACAGAATCGGACGAATAAGACAACTCTGAATTACCTGGGGTTCGTCAGTTTGATAATGATACCTCACGGGCATCACCCTTTCAAAAACAAGACTGAAAAAGAAAACTTATTCGCTAGACATTTGTTTACTCTTTTCTTTCTTAACCGCCAGCATCCCCACAAGTTGAATCCAGTAGAAAAGACAACGGACAAGGAAAAATGCAAGGAACCTGGAGTCTCAGAATGTCGGCACTGTAGGGTCCGTTGGCCAGTCCCAAGTGAAGTTGGGATAGCAGAGGCTATATGTGTCAGCCCAGTCCAGCCCGTTCGGCCCCATCGGGTCCACTGCGGTCCAGTGCGGTCCAGTTCTGTCCCGTCATGTCAGCCGACTTTTTTGAAACGTCAAAGGATGAGAGGCCGAAGTTGGCAAGGTACCAGATGAACCAGGTCTGGAAAGTCAAGGACAAGAAGCTGAATGCCATATGAAAAAGCACAGCAGCCGTTGTTCTCACCCATCATTCAGTTGTGTATGTGGAAGCGCAGCTTCCCAAGGAGTGACCCTGCGACTGGCGAAGCAGGAAGTAGAAGAAACAGAGTAGACAGGCAGTGGTGAACAGGCGCTGGGCACCATATAGTAGGCATATCATGTGGCGAGCACAGAGAGAGAAAGAGAGAGAGACAGAAGACGTCCATAGAGGGGAGATAGGGGCCTGAGGGTCAATGTGCGAGAGTTCTTCCTCTTGTTGTTGATACTGGCGGCTATAGACACCCAGCAAGATGTATACAAACTCACTTGTACATGATCCTGATTTCACGATAACTTGAGTTCTCATATAGATTGTCTATGGAGTTCATCTTCATGTGTTGTGGTGTGCAACCCGGGGTGCGCTTGAGATGTTTGAAGTTCGGCCCATTGCAAAGAGGAGACAAATCATGAGACACAGGAAAGAAAAAGAACATTGAGGGTTCAGAGACCATAGGTTGCGACGAACAGCGGCATGTGCCACTGCTGGGGATGCCTTCTCCCCACAGACAGCAGAGAAAAGTTGAGGCTCAGTAGTCCCCAAAGCTGGGTTTCATCTATATCTAAGCCAGCCCTGACCCAAGTCTCGTCCTGGACGCAAGCCTCCTGTTTATATCACCCAAGACATCAAGGCAATAAGAGGTTCCGGTAACTTAAATACCATTTCACTTCGAACACGCTACTGATAACAGGTTTTGCTGCCTTAGTCCGAAGAAAACCTCCCTCCTCTTCTTTCTCCCACTGTAGTCACAGCTCCTGACCCGTAAGGATGACAGCCCAATTCAGATGATTCAGATAAAGATCCCAGCAAGACCACAGCGGGCAGGAAAAAGCAAAAAAAGGAAGGGAACACACATTTGCTTTCCTCGAGCTTTTTTTCTTGTTCTGCCGACCCGATGTAGCAACCCACTTGAGACACCATGGTTTGCTCAACCTGGTGCCAAACTGACATTTACCTAGAACTGAGGAAACATCTCTGAATTACAGAAAAAAAGGCTTTCAAGATCTAAGGCTACCTGTATCTACCTCAAGCCTTCAGCCTCAACGGGCACTCAACCTGTACCTGCCTGCTGACACTTGCTCAAATGCCATGCATCGAGAAAGCAAACTGTCAACAATACACACCCTGTGGGCATCGACCACACATCCATTTGCTTTGAGCTTGGTGTGCGGCAATTGCACTTAGGCCCATGCCCTGTCAGTGGTATGTCCGTGCTAGAAAGTATAACCTGGCCATTCTCACTGCCAGGTGCGTGCTTCCTGAGCAATGGAAATAGCACCAGTGGGGACTAGCACTTACAATCTTTAATCAGTTAATGCTTACCTGTCAACCACGATGACTTCCCGAGAATCCAGGCAAGGAGGTTCTTTCTCCAGCACATCCAGCGACAAGAACGGGCGTTCTCTGCCAGCATCATGAAATCCATCTTCCAAGCGATCATCAAAACCACAGAAAGACTCTTGATGATACTTTCGAGCAACCTCGGAGAACCCAGCTGACGACCGCCGTATTCGTTTATTTGGAATCATGGCCTCCTCGTTTCTCCCCAGAGAACGTCTGCCAAGGCGCAACTGCTCCTCAGCTGGACCAGCACTCTCACCACCGTCCCTTCCATTCTCTTGGCCTGCTACTTCCGCCCCATCGTACACTTTGCTTGAGCACGAGTTCGGTCCGCCATCTTGACACTGTTGTCCATCACACGGACTCCTGTCAGGCTCTTCCAAAGCCCCCAGCCTTGCCTTCCTAAGTTCGCCTTCAAACGGCCTCATCCTACTTCGAAATGCCCTGACCTTATTCCCCCTCTCCGTAGAGGGCACTCCCACGACAGTGACCCTTCCCTCACCCGATGCCAGAGACCTTTGACTTCCAGCAAAGCTGCCAACTTTGCCACAAACATCGGATGCATCTGTATCCTCCCTTGAAGGCAGCGACGAGTTGACTCTCACAGCACCCGCATGCTCTGCATCACTAGCTTCAGTTGCCCCAGACTGTGTCCTCTCCACACAACCCTCCTCTTCTCCCCTACCTGAACAAGTTACCTCTTCATCACCCTCTACAGATGCTAACCTACTACTCGCGTTCTCATCCTCTTCTCGCTGTTCAATGTCCCTGGACGCATTGCCAGTCACGTTCTCTCGTTCCCTCCTTGTCTCCCATTTATTTACACGACTCCCACTTCGATCATGCTGCTCACAACCTAAGCAACAAAACCACAAATGAAATTGTGCCAATGTGGTACATCACAAGTGCATTATAGAAAAAAAAATAGTGTCAATCAGCCGACCACCAAATGGCATCAACGAGGCTCCAATGAACACTCTCAAACCACCAGAGGCAAAACCAGAGTGTCCAGCCACCTACCTACACTGCCATCCAAAAATACAACCATCCATCGAACCGCAGTTCCCCCCTCAACTTCCATTCAGACTCGGGTGCGCTTTCAAAATCTTGCGGGACATCATCACAATTGGAGAACCTTAAATATTATATTATTGCCACAATGTTCATTCACAGACAACTCAAAAATCCACATGCAGGACAATCCAGGATATTACAGGTGGACAACTACAGGTAATCTGACCAAAGAAAACAACGCCTGCAAAACATCACAATCAATCATGAACCTACCGCAGGCATCCAGAACGAAAACCAACAGAGCTCAAAAGCACTCGCGGATTGAGGAATGTCCTATATTCACAGAGTCACAACCAGAGGACATAGCTGCCTCCCAAGGTGCCAACTCGCTAAACACTTCTAAGGCGGATCCATCTCATAAAGAACGCCGCACTCAGCAGAAACTGATGCAATACATAACTACTTGTGTGAATTTGACAGGTTGAATAACAGCAGCAAGCTACTAAAGTCAAGCTTCCCATGGCCTAGTGATGCTGCCTCCAGCAGTCAGAACAGAACAGGACAGGAACCCCTCTCCAAATGCCCGTTGCCCCATCTCCTTAGCATACACGGTGAAAAAAGAAAACAGGACCTTGTACAAGACGAAACAAAAAAATAGTCCACATGCCACACCACCCTGCAATCAACCCCCACTTCTTTCACACAGGCAACGACACACACGGCCATACAGAGTACCCTTCGCAACTTGCACAGTAGTTATATGAAACGCGTTCAGAAATCAGATCCAATTATAGGAGATACACACGCAGCAAAATTGAACTCATGGTCAAACCACCTTCCGGTCACCTTTCTCCTGCTCCCAAATTCACCGCATGTGCAATTCTACCAACTTCATACTGCCTCTCCCTAGAATCCACAGCTGGCAACCGTCTCCAGGTAACAGAACTTGAGAAAACTCCCCGCCGCGGCCACCGTATCATTAGACCTCTTGCCCCTCTCAGCATCCCTACTTGAAGGTACTCTTCCGGCTAGTCCTGATTATTAGTCTCCCAGAGCCTCTCCTGCCACTACACCCAATGCAGCATCTCTTGCGCAACAAGTTTCCAAAACTTTGCAGAGTGTGTTGGATAGACACACAGAGCCCTACGTAAATTGCGCAACAGCTGTAGATATAGGGACATACATACTGTGTTCACATACAAAATTTGTACGTCTCAGTTTTAGGTCTATAAATGAGTGTGTGTCCAACGGTGCCTCCCTTCTTTTTTTCCCCGGGCATGCGTGACGATGTGCGCAGCTCGAGGAGGGGGCTTGTGCATGCGTGTGCTTGTGGGTGTATTAGGGGCCTGGCACCGGCATGCATGAGTCAGCAAGTGTTTGTACGCATGTGCACCTCTATGCAAAACGTACACTATGTTTCTTCTGTACCTCTCTCTCTCTCTCTCTCTCTCTCTCTCTCTCTCTCTCTCTCTCTCTCTCTTTCTTCTGTTTTCTACTTGCTTCCAGTATTAACATTTCATCATTTATCTTCTTCTCCTGCCTCCTCCTCCTCCAACATGTTCGCCTTCTGCAACTTCCTTTCCCTACACCTCCCCACTCCCTACACCTCCCGCTCCCTCACCTCAGCTTGTTTCACCTCTACATCATGACGCCTGGTCAAGTCTCGCACAAGACCTTCCTTATTCTTATCACCTCTACTTCTTCTTGTCCTCATCGTCCTCCTGCTCGTCCCTGTCATCCACCATCATCATCCTCCACATTTCACTTCCCTTTCCCTCCCCGCTCCTCATTGTCCTTTGCAATTTACTATGTTCCCATCTCCTCCACCCTTGTTCTCATTTTCTCAAGCAGCAACTTTTTCTGACACCCATTCTATCTTCCTATTCCACCAAACATTCCCCCCCCACTCCTGACCTGCCCACGTCCAAATCCCCCTCCCTACTCCCGAACCTCTCCCCTCCTCCTCCTCCTCCTTTTCTACCTTCCTCTTGTTCCACCTCTCTGCCCCCCTTGCTCATTCTCGACAAATTCTGACACTATCTTCTTCCCCCTTGCTCGTTCTTGACAAATTGTGACACTATCTTCTTCCGTGTCAGAGGAAAGTTCAGGATTCGCCAAGGGACTGCCTTGATTCTTTCTTTTCAAATAGCCTGATCAGTTTCAAACAGATAGCCAGGACTACAGGACAAGACAACAGGTACAGCCGTCAGTAAAGGCGGAGAGAAAAGCAGCAAAAGGCAGAGGAATAGATCGCAGCAAACCAGGCCAGAGGGTAACCTCACAGAGCAGAGCAGCATTTTCCCAAAAGATGTGTAGTTGGGCTTGGGCTAGTGCCACTGACCCTCAATCCACCAGCTGTGTGAAGCCCGACTTACCAGTCTGCATGAGGACCTGCAGTGCCCCATACCTGGGCACCATATATTCTGCAGCTATAGCCCTCATCGCCTGCCTAAACTCGGATCCGACCTACAGACGCGGCTATCACTAAACTCGGACCCGACCTACAGACGCGGTTATCCCTTCCTCATTCACTTCTGGTCCCCTTCTGGACCATGAATTGTAATCCCTCCACAGAATGCGCCCTCGGAGATCTGAATGCCACAGAAAATGTTCACGGCCAACTCAAGTTCATTGTCGGATACTGGATGTGTATCGCTCACAGGTTCAATTTCCACAGAGCCTGCTCAAATATGTGTTTTGCAGAAGCATTTTGAAGCGTGAAAAACAGCAAGCACCCCAGGAGAGAAGGGCGGAAGGCCCCGCCAGACGAGACAAAGAGATTGGCATGGAAAACAACATGGAACAGGGGGTGAAGGGGAGACAAGGCCTGAAATGCAGCACCTTTGAGGGAAGCACGTGGACTATCCGTCGCTGCACACGCCAGTCCTGAGTCTACACTTCTGCGCTCTTCTTCATCCTTGTCCAGAGCAGCACTTCCAATACCCTCGTTCCCTTCAAGATTGCATTTAATCCAACTTGGCACAGGAAATGCAACTTGCAGCCTATTACACTGCTAAGAACAGCACATACAATCCACATCACATCCGACAAGAGAATCCGTGCGCCATCCACCACAATGAGCAGCCTCGGAGGTGCAAACAAAAGAGCACGCTTCAACGCCCACATCGCCAAACCCCCACCGCCATTCCCACCTCTACCCCCGACCCGAAGAGTGCAGAAATGCAAATTCCAAATTCCAATCCAATTCACGGTTAAGAACAGCACACACGAGTCACCATGCATATGACGTCAGACAAGAGACTAAATCATCCACCACCACGAAAGTAGCTTTAGGGATTAAACAAAGGAATACACTCTAGCTTTCCTAGGCATAACCACACAGAGCGCAAACTACACGGACACATCATATAGCAAAAGACATGGACCTTGCTTTCATCCAGATTCTCACGCCTCATCGACAGTCTGAACCGGACAGCCTACACACTTCTCTACTTCTGCTTTCACGTGGAAAAAAAAAAACTCATCCTTGTCCCCAGTGCACATGTGCACGAAGCAGTGCTTTGCATCGGTTGATCCAATCCGGACCCCACAACGGGCACCAGGATATCAACTACTTGGTGCCCTGCGCTCTTCACTCGACACAGCGCACCCCCATTATGATTGTATCAAACCAAAAAAATAGCTCGATACATCCATGATGAGGGTGCGGTGTGTTTAGGGGAGGACGCTAGTGTGCACCATGACTACAACCAGCACAGACTTTCGCCGACTTAACAAAAGCGCTGTTTCATTGAAACCAAAGGCCTCGTAGACAGCATATCCCGATCTTAGCCCTGGACTGCGTCCGGTGAGCCACTGGCGGCAGCCTGGCAAGATCAAGTGTGCTAAAGATGCGAGTTACCAAAGTAAATAAAACACAACAGAGAGTGAATGGCGAAGCAGGGACAGTGAACAAAAAGAGAGTGAACAGAAGAGCGAGAGTGAGGGAGGGCATGCTCACACTGCCGTCCCAAATCACTAAAATATGAGAAAACACGGGGACAGAGGATTTGCGAATACAGTGGTGCTGCTGATCCCACCGTCCATGTCCCCAAATCGCTAAAAAAAGACACGGTTGCAGACTGGCACCCGGTGTGGTGCGTTTTGAGGCCGCCTCCAGTCACACGGCACCTACCACGTTTCATGAGTTTTTTTTTTTTCTGCCGGATGTTAGGGCCAGTCCTTCGCCTCAATCTTCGTCCTCTATCTTCCCAACATTTCTGTGTGTTCTTTCCAAAAAAAAAAAAAAAAAAAAGGTAATTTGCTGTAACCTTCGGAGCTTACCGCAAATTCCCCGATGGTCCCCGCGGCTTGCCAGGCCGCTGACACAAATGATGCTACGAATCAGGTATTTGGGGAAATGGGCAATCCGTGTGACTACCACGCAACACAATGTTTTTTTACGAATCTGGGATTTCGGTAGTAGCCAGTGTGAGCATGCCCTGAAGACAGACCCTGAATTTTGGTAGCCAGTGTGAGCATGCCCTGAAGAGAGAGCCTGAGAGAGAAAAGAAAGAAAAAAGGCACAAAAGGCAAGCTTTTTTATATACTAAAGAACATCCAAACGGCGCCGGGACACAAAGAACAACTGGGCGCTTCGTAGAACAAAATCTTTTGCATACCTGACGTAAAAAACAGACGCTTTTCTTCATTCGGTCGGATACTCGGTGTTCAAGAAAAGTGATTGGCATCTTGTACGGAACTTTGCTTACCTTGGCATTGAGAGAGACGAGCGCAGTCATCGACGTCAACGGCAGATTGCAAAGAGATGTTATTTTATTGTGCGCGACGTCCAGATCTGTCAGGCTGACCAAATCAGACAGCTGGATCGGCAGACTTCTCAGTTTGTTGCTCGCAACATACAAAGTCTTGAGCGACTTCAATTCCCCAATCTCAGGGGGAAGCAGCGTGATCTTATTGAAAGACAGATCCAGCTCCTCCAGTTGCTTCAGCGTTCCTATGTCCGCTGGAACAGACCTGACAAAAGGGTAATGAGACGCGACGGTTCGAGCGAGAGAGAGAAATTTCAGAGAGCATTCGCATACGAGCAACAACGCATAACAAGATCTCTTCCTTTTTCTTTTCTTTTTTTTTTCCTTTCTTTTTTGGTGAAACATTCGCTGGGTGGGACTTCCATTCTGAGGAGATTATAAGAGCACCCTTGCAATCAGAATTGAAGCTCAGCACTGTGCTTGATGACTCCTTCCTGCTGGTGAGGATCCGGGTGGATCCGCACCTGATCGAGACCGGGTCCAGCATCAACTTTGATCACAGTAATACCGTAATACTGTAATAATTGACTAATTACTCAATCCTCACGATGGCAACAAATTTGGGCGGGACCCTTTTCGGCAAACCAGATATCAAACATTCCAAGGACCGTTGATCGTGCACAAGCTGCCCAACCAACATCATCAGCCCATATTGCCTTCTTCGGTCCTCGCCCGAATAGAACGCCCGGTCATAACAGCTGTCTGTGCGTGGAGCAACTTTCAGTCTACCTTCTTCCTCCGAATACAACGTACGGTCATTATAGTTGTATCTAGACTAAAAGATGCCTCAAATACATCTATAATGACCGTACGTTGTATTCGGGGGAAGAAGGTAGCTACAGCAGTAATGACCGGCCGTTGTATTCGGGTGAAGACGGTAGCAGTGAAAGAAAACACCTGCCTCGGTAGCCGGACTCTGCCTGTGCAGAAACGGTCCAAAACGGGCCACCAAGCATCGCTATAGCTATGATACTTGGACCGCCGGGATGGATCTTGCATGCATAAATAAACGGTCCAAATACTCCCAGTATCTCTTTTCAAATATTCCTATTTTTTGGCCGATGCTTTGAAAAGCACGTGGTTGCAAAACCGAGATGAATGGCAAGGGTTACGCAATATTTAACCCATACCTGCCCCCCTCTATATTTCCCTCCGCCTATCTCCTCCCCCCCCGTTGCCGCGAAAGAAAAAGCCATACATAGCTCCCAACAGCCCCAGCCCATTGTATATGCCGCTCGTGCACGCCTAACCGCATCAACCGACGTCTACCTCCCGCCCCTAATACAGTCCTCATAGTCGGGAGTTCACGCCACCAAATAGAAGGGGGCAGCGGCCACGGTTCCAGTCTCCTTCCCCCCCACACTGTACGGACATCGCGGATCGAACTGCAGATTTTCTTTGCCGAACCCAGAAATCGCACCATCACTAACTCCCAGTTTCAAAAAATAAATGGACAAAAAAAAAATCGAGGCGGCGAAGCAATTACCCTGAGAGGCAGGCATCTCCTCTCCTACACCCACCATTCTCCAATCGATATGGCATCACTTCTCGTGGCTCCGCCGCTCGTGGCGGCCCCCACTCACCGCGGAACATCGTAGTCTCGCTATCTTCTCGAGGTTGCGCACACCCTCCCCTCCCTTTCCCGCGTGGTCTCCCATTCGCTTCCCCATCCCCCCCCCCCGCCCCCCTCTTCCCCCCTTAATTAGCAATCTCCCAAACCATTCCATTGACCGATTCGTCTCCCAAAGCCGCGAGCCCTCTTGTATCAGCAGCAGGGCCCTTCTTTGTATTTTCCCTTTCCGCTTTTTTGCCTCCCTCCTTTCCCTGCTTGTGTGCCCTTGCCCTGTCCTGTACGCCTCTCCTAGGCTCATTCACTTCTCTCCCTCCCTCCCTAAACTCCTTCCTCTCTCTCCTTCGATCTTTGCCCGTTCCCTCTCTCCTAAGTCTGATCATCTGCACTCTCCCCCCTTCCCCCTTCCCCTCTCTCCCACTTCTACTCCAACCTTCCTCTCTCTGCCTAGTTTAATCCTCCACACTCTTTCCCTCTCCCCATCCTTGCCTCTCTCATTTCCCCAACTCGGTCATCATAGCTGTATTTGGGGCAATTTCTGCGTAGAGACAGCAATAATGACCGTACGTTCTATTCGGCTGAAGACGGTACCCCTGTGCTCTCCGTCTCTCCCTTCCCTCCCTTCTAACGTCCTCCCTCTTATGATCTTCGCCTCTCCGACTTTCTCAACGCCTCTCTCTACAACACCCCCACCTCCCTCTCCTCCCCCCCCCCCCCCCCCCCCCCCCCCCCCCCCCCCCCCCCCCCCCCCCCCCCCCAACCCTCCTCCCTCTCCCATGGCTCTGACCCTCTACACTCTCCCTACCATCCCTCCTGAAAATCCAGTTCCAGTGCTTTGGTAAGAGAAGTTCCGCCGCGGAACTAATACCCCTCCTGAAACTCCAGTCCCAGTGCTCTGGTAAGAGCAGTTCCGCCATGGAACCATTTTTTCCCTCTACCCCCCAGCTACAGACATCATTATTATAAATAGAAAGAGCACGTAGATCGCGGCATCAATCCTTACAGAAAGCCCGTGCTGCAAATGCACACTTTAGCGACGCCGACACCGACACATTACTGTCGCTCAGCGAATCCATTCAAAATTAAGACTCAAAATTAAGACTTCTTCATCTCTGAGCCAGATCGAACCTCCGGCACCCCTAGCTGATAGTGAGAGTAGGAAACAGCCCCCTAAACGCGCGTAATAACATCCCTTTCCTCAAAGGACCGCACAAAGTCCGTCAACCAGGCCCGAAAAAGCATGTTACAAATCATCATTGCCACATGGCCAAACCTCCTCCACATCTCTTCCGTCCTCAACTCGACCACCCTCCCCTCCCCTTGTGTATACACAGATACAACGTATTTGACCCTTGCTGCGTTGTTAGACGTTAGCACACGCATGAGCTACCGAAAAATATGTGGTTAGTCCTGTTTTTTTTCCCCGAAAAGATGTGGCTAAACGTGGGCACGGGCATGAATTACCTCCCACAATGCGTCCAAAACTACGAGGCATTCCATCCCCGCCAACCTCCTACATTCTCACCTCCTCCAGACCCAACTCCCGCCGCCCAAACTTTTATACTGTACTGTATTTCCCCCTCTTCTCTCTTCTTTTTCCGCGCGCTCTACCAGACTTCCCTCTCCCGCGCTCAACCGTACCCCGCTCACGGGTTGGGCTTATCACTCACTCTCGATGTCTCCCATAATTCACCTTCCGTCTCTTCGCGCCTCTCCCTCGCCGCCACGTTCTATGAACTGGCGTCGCCCTCACTTTCTCCTCGCTTCCCTACCCTCCCCGCATCTGCACGCCCCCACCACCACCCCCTCCTCTTCTTTCCTTCCTCCTTATCCCTGATTGCTGGTCTGTTATTTTCCCCGCCTTCCAAGGTCGCATCTCCCCTGCCTCCCTCCGCCCTTACAAAGAGGTACCCCATGAATGAATAAGAGACATGGGCCGCAATACCGCACTCAACCATGCACCTGATCGTGTTACAGTCAACGTTCGGACGACGAGACGCCAACTGCCTCTGTGTCCTCCCACCCCAAAATCCTCTATCGTCAGCTTTTCAATGTCTGCGTTTGCACTGGCTCTAGCATAAAGACTTCCTCCTCTTTTCCCGTACGGGTAATGGAAAGTGGAGAAGAGAAACGTTTGAAAACCTTAGCAGCGAAAAAAAAAAAAAAAAAAAAAAAAAAAAAAAAAAAAAAAAAACTTAGCAGCACTATTCAATTTGAGTTTTCGACCTCGGCTGCTCTCCGATCGCCGCCGGATCTTCGCAGTCCGTCCTGTCCGCAACCTGCGACGGGGGTTGGTTGCCCTCTGCTCTCTATCGACGACCCTCTATCGGGAATGCTCTTCAGTCGCCCGCATGACGAATTTCTCAAGCTCATGAAGTACCACATTGGGAATGCGAGCCCTTCAGCACGCGTCCCCGGGGTGTGCGGCAAAATTTTGTCTAAACACACGCAGCCAGGCACGATTTCAAAGGCGCGAAGCACTGCAGAAAGGTAAAAAAAGCACCGTACGAAGACGTAGGAGTCAACTGCATACCGTACATACCGTACATTTTCGGTCACATCCACTCCGGGATCCCCAAGGGACTCGTTCCCTCACGCTGTGTGGTAGAGTAAAACCTGCTTAGTGTTATGCGGTTCGAGATGGAACGCCGATGGAGAGCTGTGTGACAGGAAACTGTCACGTATGTCGGAACACAACGGGTTTAGGCTGATCCCCTAGGACCTATGCCTTGAGGAGACAATTCAATTAAAGTCGACATCGTGGGAACTGGGGAAACAACTCCACGGTGGTACCATACCAAGGAGAATGCAGAAATCCCGTAGTACCAGACAGCCGCCCGTCGAAAATCTCGGCGTATCTGTTTCAAGGACCTACCTGTATTTTGTACTTGACTGACTCTTGCGAGCCTCCAGGCACAAAGTGCAGCAATTCGGACATCTATCCTTGGCTTTCTCGTCCCAGAAGCATCATCTCCAACGGCGATGACTGCGTCTCTCAATGCAGAGATGGTTGCTTCACATCCAAAAGACTCAATTACTTATATAGCCCACAGCTCTCTCTCTCTCTCTAACTTTTTCTCTCTCTCTCTCTCAGTCTTTCTCCCTCTCTCTCACTCTTTCTCTCTCTCTCCCTCGTTCATGTGAGCGAGTAGCGCGGGGAAAATTCCCCTCGCCCACCTCCCTTCCCGCCAATCTGCCAAGCCCCCGCCTTCCCCAACCGTTTCAACCCAAAGCCCTGCCCCCTCCGCTCCAAAGCCCGCGTAATCATCTCCCGCGGCCCACAACTTTACACGACGATGTGTAGACAGGAAAGCCTGGCGTCCGAGGATTCCGCCCTGATTCATGATATTTGCAGTCGACGGTGTCTGTAGACATGGATATTACAGGCAACAGGCGAATACATCCGCTTACGCGTGCATTGCCACTTCGAAAGGGAAAGAGGTCTCTGACACGCTATTTAGTTGTGCGACTTGATTCCCTAAGAGAGAGCCTCGAGAGTCGGGAGCGATAGTGAAAACGCCCCCCCAAAGATACTTACTGTATTGGAGGATTAGAACAGCCGTTTCCTGCTGAGATAATCTCAACATGTAAGTATCTCAACATGTTGAGATTATTATAGTAATTCATATCCTTCGTTGCGGCCCCAATCCCTGTAGCAGAAGGGGAGATTGATTTACAGTATAATTGCCTGGAGAAAAGTGCGCATTCCAATAGTTTCGCTGAGCCATAGAAAAAATGATTTCTGATCATTCATCAGTCCCCCGACGTTCACCTCGCATTCACAATAACAGTCCCACAATCCAATGCGCATGGGCCTCACTCCACTACACAACACTCCAAATGCATCTGGTTCTGGCATTGGGCCCCCCCATACGCTCGAAATGTTCCCTCAATCCGAATGTATCTGGATGGCGGATAGAACACAAACATTTCGAATGTTGTCTAGCGGAGCGCAGCCTAATGAATCCAATTCACCACTAACCGCCGCACTTGCAGCTGGTTAACGAATGACACGCGCACAGCGCAGGGACAGAGAGCAGGGTTACCCGCTCTTGGCTCCCTCCCCGCCGGGCGTCCGTTCTGGAACCCCTTCCCAAAGTCGACGGAACACGGGCGGAAACGAACACACGAACAAAAAAGGAAAAGAGGAGAGGAGACGGTGGAAAAGAAGGGGGCCGCAGAGAAATACTGCGGGCGAGAAGTCGAAGGAAACACGGGCGGGAGATGCAAGACTTACGTGATTCCATAGTGGCAGACGGCGAGCCTCGTCAAGGACTCAAGCTGGCTGATGTCGCTTGGCAGAGCTCTTACAGAGGGTCGAGCTGGTGCCTCATGGAGTTCCAGAGCTTTCAAAGAGCGGAGTCGACCTAAGGGAGGCAGCACGCTCATCCCCACAGGCTCAGTTTTCACGTACAGCTGTTCCAGCGAGCTGATGCCGCCTATTTCTCTAGGGATGAGCCGCACCTCGTTGGAAAAAAACTTCAGCACTTGTAACGAATGAAGACACCCCACTTCGGACGGCAAAACGTTGAATGTGTTATCGTACACGTACATCTTCCTCGGACCAGTCTCCGCTCCGCCAAGCCCATCCTCCCCCTCATCTACCAGCACCTCCTCTTCTTCCCTCCCTTCCTCTCCTCCACACTCACGATCCCCAGCTCGAATCAAAGACGAAGGCAACGGCTGAGCGTCGGGCGCGGCATTCCATTCCCTACGCCCTCTGTTCGCATTGGAGCCATCCCCCCCTTTTCCGGGCCCTCCCCCACTGCACCGCGAAATACACTCTAAAGAGCCCACGGAATGGCCGGTGGGGGAGATATCAATAACTTCACCCGGATCATCATCCCCCATGGCTCCCCTTAGGTCGGTAGTTTCTATGGTGTTGAATCGCTGCGACCCTCTGGACAGGCATTCGTCACCATCCGCGGCAAGTTTCTCAGCAGCCCCTGAGCTTCGTCCTCCATCTGGAATAATGGCGCGTACTCGCGCACCGTTCCCCTCCCTTCCAATCAGAGGTAAGCCTCCTCCGGCCACGCCATCTTCGTTATCTAGCGCTGCTTCCGTTGGCTGCTGACACCTGCGCGACTGCAGCTTTGTACTTCTGCCGATCGCCGCCCTGTCTCGCCCTTCTTTGTCCTCTCGGCGCAGGCGCGACCCTCTGCTCTGCGCTTTCGAGGGCGCCGTCGTCGCCGCCGACGACGACGACGACTGCGCCGGCACGGGGTCCGCTCGCGCGCATCCTCCCGACGATACGCATGGCGCCAGCGTGTAGGCGTGCACCTCGTCTGCCTTCCCACCCGCACCCCCTTCTCCGCAATCTTTCACCGTCAACGAGGAGCTAGCACAACCACCGTGTGCGCGCAGGGAATCCCGGGTGGCCACGTGGCAGACAGAGAGAGCTCCACCTGAGCTCTCCATACCCAATCACAGAACGACGGGAGCGATATCGTTGTCGTCGTCGTCGTTGTGGGCGAGCGCCGACCGCGCCTAAGGTCCTGGCCTCCACGTCCGCAGAGAGACACGCAGCACACCTCCCTCCCAGCTACAGCGACCACTCCGTGTCACGGTCGCGGTCGATTACTACGTGAGCGCGACCGTCGATCACGACCACCGCAATCCCTCCGGCATACTTCGATGGCCACAGGACTGAGAGACGCGCACCCGGGAAGCTCCGCGCCTACAGAGCTCCTACTCCCCTCCGGTAGCGGCGACCACATGGCCAATTACCCAGAGGCAGCGATGGAGGTCAACCCCACAGATTATATAGACAGGTGAGTCAGTGAGCCACCCACCCGCCCCGACTCCACGCAAGCATGCACGTCAGCAAGCCGCCTCAAGCGCGTTCGCTGTCCGTTATCATCCTCTTTGCGCCGCCCTGCGTGCTCTCTTCTCTACTCGACTCGACTCCCTACACTCGGCTGGAGCAAGAAACGACGGCGCCGAACGTCGTCTCGCAGCGGTCACAAGGCTTCACATCCGTGACGGCGAAAAAAAATGGGATCGAGGCAAGAAAATGCCACCTGCTGCCACGCCGCACCACGTCTTTTTGCTGTCGGTCTAGCGAATAAGCCAGCAGGGTACAACAGTAGATTCCGTCTCCTCCCGAGTCTTCTGTTCCGCTTGCTCGCGCTGCCCCTTTCGGGCCTGCGCATTCTCCACGCGGAGTGAAGGCCGCGCAAGGCCCTCGGGGTCTCGATTACCACCGAACCATCCTTTCTCGTTCCACGCAGCTCCGTGACTTTTCCGTTTCTTTCCCTCTCCCCGCCTCCCACCGCGCCTCCTCTTCTCTGCCCAACGAAACCTGGTCGGCCGGAAGGCTACAGCTACAGATACAGATACACTTCTCCCTTTCCACTCGCCACCATACTGTGCGAAGCCACGAATAATGCCAATCACCCGGGATGGCCGCGCGGCCAACAACGATTTAGTTTAGTGAAATATACAACGTTTGATTACCCCGGGGAGTGCACATACACAGCAGAGAACCCCGAACCCGCGCGCGGGCATCCGCACGATGATCAGGAAGTCGCCCAGCACGATGCTTCTACGACCATGCCCTCCCCCTCCCTCCGGCATCCAGCGACCTGACTGAGAAGGGCGCCCACCAATTAGTCCCTGGGATGAAGGATGCGCGGCAGGACCACCACCTGCAAGGACAAAGAGCGTCCTTGCGCCGCTCAGACAGTTGGCAATGTGCACGAAATGGACTGGCGAAATCTCGCTACCCCGGCAAATCTCGCGACTGAGCGCAGAACGGATTGGCTGCAGGTCCATCGAGTGCAGTGGTAAGGTCTACTGTTGGGTAGTCGCGAAGGGAAGCGAAGTGTCTCGCTCATCACAACGGTCGATTCCCGTGTACCCAGGGAAAAGCGGCGGCATGGAGGTGCGCGACAATTCGTCGGCGGGCGCAAAAGAAGCATGAGGGACGCATTTGTGCCCAATTTTTTTGCCTTCGAGTGAAATTTGTTTGAGTGAAAATCTTCCCGCGTCCGCGCATCATTCGTCATTGTGCCCTATCTCCGCTTTTCGAAAGCCGCTTTTTCTTTCGAATACAGCTTTCGACTGAAAATGGAACCACCTCCAGTCCGGCTTATGGAATCAACGAATAAAATTGCTCTGGGGCTGGTCAGTTCGATGACGATACCGTGGCCTTTCAAAAAAGGAAAAGAAAAGAAGGCGACGGGAGCAGAGAAGTTGAGGGGTACGAGTGATGACCATAAAAGGTGGGCACCTGCTGACTCGCCCAGCACCGCGGACATGCATTCTGTTCGGGCTCCTGCAGGCGCTGCAGGATGTTTGCAGCCTGTAGGCTGTAAGCTGTCAGCCTGCAGGAAGGGGGGGGGGGGGGGGGGGNGGGGGGGGGGGGGGGGGGGGGGTGGTTCCTAACTACGCTATATTCTTTTTCTAATTGAAAGAATTAGAAAGGGACTAATTACGAAATACCCCCATAAGTTGGGATATGTGCCAAAATGCCCCTGAAAGGTATGGGTAGAGCGGAATGCCCCTCTGACAAAAATAAAACTTTGTGAAATACCCTTCGCGTAGGTTGGACCCCCCATCTTTATACCCCTACTGGGTACCATCCAACTTTGCAAAATGCCCAGAACTTGGCAACTTTCCTAACGCCCAATTGCAAAAGGCCATGCCCAAACGGTGGACCTCGCAAATTTGTACACCTGCCTGACAGGGGCATAACACAAAGATTTTGGCCCGAAAGGGCATTCCGCTCTACCCACATCTTACAGGAGCATTTTGGCATATATCTCAACCTATGGGGGTATTTCGCAAATTGTCCCATTAGAAAGATGATGTTTCTTTTTTTTTTCCAGAAAAAAAAAACATTCCATTCATACCAATTCTCGCAAAGAGGCCGGGAACCTCACAATTCAACCCGGAGTTATCCCGGCAGCATCAGCCGGTTTAGCTTAAAAGAATTCTTCTCGCTTCAACCTCCTTAACAATACCTGTGTAAACCTATCATAAAACCAGATCAGAACACTTGACAGCAACCTCAAATTGTCCTAATCCAACCTACTCTAGCCTAAGCTACCAATACTAGATCTATTTGGCGATCTGGGCCTCGACCTACCTCGGTCGGGAGGAACATTGGTTCCTTTTAGGTAACCTGGCACTCTCCAAACCCCCCACCCCCGTGCCGCCTACTGTGACCGCCGACTGGAACCAAGTGCACCTGGTTCCTACCCATTTGCTACCCTGCACTTACCCCCACTAAATCTACAAATCTAACTCTAATCCTACTTTCCCTGCCCTTCCTACCCCCTTTCAATCCATCGTCCCAACACCAAGTTCCCTTCTGGGGATATGTGAGCCAACCCCAAGCCCCACGTTCTTCGGAACCATCCCTCCCCCCTGGTGTGAGCCTCCTGGCCCCGTCTCCTCGCCCAGTCCGCTCTTATAGTTGTGGCTAAGAGACTCTTGAACAGATCTTCGGCCTGATTTTCTGGACATAGCCCCAGCCTTCAGTGCTGCTGATGTTGGCTGGTAGGCTACCAGTTAAGACCCACCTTTCTCCTGACAGCTCCTTCCTCTCTGCAAATCTATTCCAGTGAAACACCCACCACTTCCACCATTTTCGCAACCTTGGGCAGCCCCACCAAAGATGTTGCATTGTCTCTGGCCCTTCCTTACACCGGTCACAGATTGTGTTCACTAACATTCCCTTATTTGCCAGCCACTGGGAGGTGGGAACCACTAGGTGTGACTGCAGCCACAACAGGGATGCCATTTTTTGTGACGGCAGGGCTTGGAGTTGCGACCACAACCTGGTGAGTTCAGATTCTGATGGTGGCTGAAGGTGGGGAACTTGCAGTGCCCACCGTATGCCTGTCTTTGCGCTTACCGTCTCTGAGTCCATATACATTTTAAGGATCAGGCTTGCATCCAATTTCTCCAACCCCATTACCACCAAATCACCTAGACGCCAACCCCAACTCTCCGGATCTATCTTCAGCTTATCCAAACCTACCCCATTCCCCACCGAAACGGGGATCAGTGAAAGACCTTCCTCTTTCGGAAGTCTTAGTCTGACCCGAATTTCTTTTAGTCCGGCCAGCCCATATTGAATCCGCATCCCACTTCTTTCTAGCGTAGGGAGGTTTGGAAGCATTCGCTTGTACGTCTCCAGCCAACACTTGCCGGATTTATCCTCCGTCCAACTCTCCAATCTGCAATACCGTTCCGCCTCGCCTATGTCCGTTACATGTACCTGGTGGGTCGATACCCTCAGGTCCCAGGAGCTGCCTCCACTCTGACGAAATGGCATGTACAAATTGAGTGAACCGAGCTTGCTGATCTGGCAATTGACCCCAACAATTCCTTTAACTGATCCATAGAAATCCAGCAATTGGTACTGGCCTCCCACAGGTCACCAATCAGGCAAACACCTTTCTGCATTCAGCTCTGTCCAAAGCATTCAGGTTACCTCTCTAATGAGAACCACTCCCCGTTCATACCTTTGATCTGATCGTTTTCGAACAGGTGCTGGCATTTGACATCGGTCTTGGACTTCGGAGCCCAATTCAAAGTAGGTTTGCATTTCCTCCACGCTTGGAGAACGTCATTCCACAATCGAGACTTGGGACGCTTACGTGCATAGGTATCAGTCATCAGAGTCACCCAGATATCTGATGGTCGAGAAAAGCCCCATTCTTTTGCCAGCAAGGTCTCTGCCAGCAGCACCCAATCGGTATCTACTTCGACTTCGGCCACCCGCACGATCCAATTTGCCAACAGTGTTGTATTCTGCGCGCCAGGGTCAATCAGAGCAAGCCCCCCCTCGCTACGAGGTCTGCATAAAGTGTCCCACGCCACTTTACTGATGTATCCCTTTTCTGCATCCCCACCTGGTTTCCAAATGAATGCCTCTCGTCATTGTTGCTCCAAGCCTTCCTCCCACGCGAACCTCATTAAACATTTGTACTAGATCCGCTGCCAAGACATCCCAGCATGCAGCAAAAAACTCTACTGGCAGTCCGTCATCCCCTGGCGTCTTTCCACGAGCCATGCAATTGAGTGTGGAGGTAAGTTCCTCTAATGTCATCGGCCGGTTCATTAAGAGTCTCCCTTCCTCCGGGAGTCTGCAGTCCAAGTTGTCCCATACCGTTGATTCTGCAATCATATCGTCATCCAGGTCGTCGAACGGTCTCCTTGTAGTCATGATGTCCTGAAAGTTGGACACTGCTTACACATGTCCTCATTTAAGGTAGCATTTGGTAGGCCCTGCAGGTGGTGGTGTTTCAACTCTCTCATTTGCACTGCTGTATTCTTTGGTAGAAGGTGTCTGAATGCTTCCTTAGATAGTCTGTCTGCAGAGACAATCCCCTTTACTTCCTGCACTTTTGCCCTCCACTCCTGCTATTGGATCTGATGTTCATCCCAATCTCGAAGTTTGTCCAGTCTTTCCTTTGACCAATAGAGGTCCGACAAAGGATTCACCCCCAGTTTCTGTTCAACATTTTCTACCCTCTTTTTAAGTCGGACCGTCTCCTTGTTCCGAAGCAAAGCAGCAATTCTTGAATAAGAGTCAAACCT